TACTGGCAATGTTTTGCCTATTTTCAAAAAATTAATTTATCCAGAAAATTTTTTTAACACTTTATTCTCTCTCATAATCCATTCATACTTGTCATAGAAAAACTTTATGGATTTTATTTTTTTGTTTTGTTTTGTTTTGTTACATTAATTGATTTAGGTCGTCCGTTGTCATCATCATTATTTTTTTTTCTCAAATCTGAATTGAACTGAATCTTAAATTATCCATGAAAAACAGAAAAACTGAAAAAATCTAGAAATGAAATAGGATTCCTAATTCGAATTTTGTTACATTATGTTTACTACGATGGTTGGTCGATTCAATACAAATGATTGATTGATTTTTGAAGGAAAAACTAAAAGAGTTTTTTTCTCTTTCTGCAGTTGTTGTTGTCGTTTTGCTTGTTGTTGTTGTTGTTGTTTTGCTGTTATTGATTGATTGATTTGATTTTGAACAACAACAACAAAAAAATCATAAATATCCAATTTAATCACGGTTATGCTCCCGTTTTTCATCATCATTTACCAATTCGATTGATGGTGTCAAATAATGCCATTGGTGTCAGCTTCGGTTCTTTACACTATTGATGCACCACCATCCCCACCATCACCACTATTTCGACAATATCGATTATGATGATGATTATTGAATGTTTTGAAATGAAATGAAACGAATGAAAACCTTTCAAATATGTGCTCTTTTTTCTCTCTTTTTTTCGTTTTTGCTCAATGACAATGTCAATTTTTTTCCAATATGGAAATTGACGATACCGTTTTGTTGTTGTTGTTGTTTAGAACAGAAACAACAACAACAACAGCGTAGAAATTAGGCCAAATTCTTTTCCATCCTCCCTTGATAAATCAATGACCTTTTTATTTTATCAGTTATTCTACTAGGCTAGGGTCATGAACACTATTGATTCACCAAATCACCCAAAAAATGATCAACCATATTGATCAAATGAATAGTGCCATTGAAAAAAAAACTTTTTGAAATTGGATTTTGGTCAGTTTTTTTTGATTTTGGTTACCTGGTGTGTGTGTGTGTCCTGGATAAAAGAAAAATGTAATCTTTTTTTTTTGTTTGCAAAATTGAATCATCTTGAAAAATCAAATTTTCAAACTTTTTGATTTTTCTGTTTTAAAAAGTTTTTTGTTGTTGTTTGTTGTTGTTCGAGAGAGAGAAAGGAATGTTTATCATTATCATTATCATTTTTGGAAATTGATAAAAACTTTACAGAAAAAAACTTTTCAAAAACATTTTTTTTTTGATATTTTTCATTAATCGGATTTATTCTTTTCATGATTATATACACTGTGTGTGTGTGTTTGTTTTTCATTTTGAACTAGATGGATTCTTGATTCTAACATCATCATCACTATTTTGACATCCAAAAACTAATGATAGTAATTTGTTCAGCAAGAGAAACATCAAGAATCATTCATTTTGTTTTTGAAAACATCCAAAAAAAATGTCAATGTTTGATTATCGTGTTTGATTGTGCGCATCAGATATGTATCCTGATCAAAATTCAATAAATGTAATTTCGGTAGGAATGTTTGATGTTTCCATTTCGATAATGATGATCCGGGATTTTCATTTTTTTTTCATTTCAAAATTCAATTTCAAATTGAAATCTATCCATGATGATGGAATCAAAATGAAAATTCTTTCCAAAATCTCTCATTTTCTTGTTAACATCATTATGGTTTTCCATTCGAAACAAAATCAAAATCTTAATGTTTCCAATTCTATTATGCTTTTCCTTATCTTTGTTTGTTTGTTTGTTTTTTTCTTCTTTTACAAGAAGAAAAATCGAAACAAAACAAAAAGAAAAACAAAACAAACAACAAAACAAAAGCAGAAAACAAAGTTAAATTTCCCTCGAGGTAAACAAAGTTTTAAGGGTTTTCCACCACCACCAACATCATCATCCGATAATCGACACACAAAGCATTTGGTAATGTGTGTGTGTATGTAACACTAAACAGATAACATAATAATGTTTTTTTTGGGTCAAAATAGTGTCTGGTAGTTTTATTTTGAAATCAGAATCAGAATTTGTTCTTGATTCCTCTTTTTTTCAGTTATATGATACACTGGAGAATTGGGTTATTTTTCTTTTTGTTTTTTGTGTTTTTGTTCCAAAGAATTTTTCATTCATTTATTTTAATGGTAAATAAATTCAAATTCAGGTTTTTTGTTTTTCTGTTTTGTCACCATATTGATTTTTATGATTCCAAAACAAACCAAACAAAAAATGATGAGGTGAAAAAATTCTTTTGAATTTCTGTTTCTGTTTTATGTTTGGTGATTTCACCATAGTTTGTTCATGATTGACATTTTCTTTTCATTAATAAAATTATTAATATTAATTTTTTTCGGTTCCAGAATTCAAGAATATTCTCGAGAACCAGAACCAAAACGCTAATGAATTGTATTAATAAGTTGAATAAGTTTTTTTGTGTGTGTGTGTGTGTGTGCCTTTCAAATATATCGTTGAATAAACAGAACTTTCACTTTTGACAGTATGAATATTATCTCTTTACAACGATATGATATGATATGATTAAACAAGAAGAAAAGAGAAGAGAAAATATATTCAAATAAGTTTTCCGAAAAGATATCCACCACTAAACGCACACACAATACATATCATATTATGAATGAATGAATACTTGATTCAATTCAAGTCAAAAAAAATCCATCAAAAAATATTCGTTTTATTTCAATGAAAAACGCCAATATTAACACAAAGATGCTGCTTGGCTTTTGGCTTCTTGAAAAAAGAATTTTTTTCGATTCGAAATTTTCACTTGAATGGTCGTGGATTCTTTTCATTGGATTTTCACTGTTTTTTGTTCTTTGCAATAAAATGAAATGAACAAAACGTGTTTGTTTTGGAATAAATGTCAGAAGCGTTTTTTCGCCAGCAAAAAAAAATGATTATTTAAATTCAAATGAGTTTTTGGCTTGCTTGCTTGTTTAATATTCACTTCGTTTTTTCACTATCTATGTTGATTTTGTTTTTCGTTATATTTACTGATATGATGATGATGATGGCAAACAAACAAACAAAATCAGCTATTCATGAATGATCCATCATCATCATCATCATTGTTTGATGACCAAACAAAACAACGAAGATGATAATGATGAATAAAATAAGAAAGAAGAAATATTATTGGTTTTTTGGGGAAATTTTTTTTTTTTTTNAAATGTCAGAAGCGTTTTTTTTTCCAGCAAAAAAAAAATGATTATTTAAATTCAAATGAGTTTTTGGCTTGCTTGTTTGTTTAATATTCACATCGTTTTTTCACTATCTATGTTGATTTTTGCTTTTTTCGTTATATTTACTGATATGATGATGATGATGGCAAACAAACAAACAAAATCAGCTATTCATGAATGATCCATCATCATCATCATTGTTTGATGACCAAACAAAACAACGATGATGATAATGATGAATAAAATAAGAAAGAAAAAATATTATTGGTTTTTTGGGAAATTTTTTTTTTTTTGATTTCCTTTTTTCATTCGAATTCATAGTTGAGTGAGGTTAGGTTGATGACTATGACTGTGACTATGACTGTGATTCATAGTTGAGTGAGGTTAGGTTGATGATTATGACTATGACTNATTATTGTGAATTCTAAATCCAATTAATTGATTTAACAACAATCGCTCTTGATTTATTTAAATCAAAAGCTACTTTTATGTATTTCTTTTAACCCAGAATTATTTTAATATTAAAGTTATATTGTTTCTTTTATTATTGTGTTTAAGTTTTTGTTTTTTATATTTTTGGCGAGCCAATATGGACTTTTCTATTTTAGAACCTCGTGAAATTCTAAATCGAAGAAACAATTTTATATTAATTTTGGAGTCTAAGTTTTCCCTTTATGTTTCGCTGTTTGGTCAAGACGTCGTTATTGGAAAACAGTTTTTTAATTCCGAAATTGTTGCACAGAAAGAAAAGGAGTTAATTGATTTATTCGATCAATTTAGTAAATACAACGATTATATTATGTTAAACGGTCTTCCTGATGATGAAATTAAGCAAGAAAAGATTAAAGAAGTAACTAAGAAGTATGTTTCTTGGTGCCAGAAATTCCTAACGGCAAAAACCTTATTTGAAAAAGAATCAAATGAAGTGATAACAAATAATAAAGTTTCAGCGACGAAAATTTATAAAACCGAGGATTATAAATTTAAGGATGCGGATCCTTTAAATTTCCCGTTATGGTATTCTTACGTTAAAAATGAAATCGTTGAAAATGAAAGTTTTTCTACCATTGAAAAGATCATCAAAATTAAATCAATGCTACCTGATGATTTTATATTGATATTTGATCATAAAAAACCAAACTTAGATGATATCCTACAACAAATCCAAAAAAGATATGACAATGAGGTTTTAATCGTCAGTTCAATCAAGTCAAGGATTAATAATTTAGAAATTTTATATGAAAATTCAAGATCAACCGATTGGAATCAAGCATTAATGATAGCAAATGCAATTTTAAATTTGCATGAACAAGATAAAGTATTTGCTGCTAAAGAATTATCAAAGTGCTTACTGTTTAAGATAAAGAAAAACGATCTTTTATTTGCAGAAATTCATAACGATAATTTTCCGAAAATTCTGTTGTCAAAGATCAAAACATCTTTCGAGGCTGCATACAATAAAGAGTTGTATGATGTTAATAATTTCAATTCAAAATCAAAAAGACTTTCTTTGGTCACCGTGGAAAATATTAATTGTTTGATTTGTAATGGAAAGCATCTAAGTTATAAATGTCCTTTACCTAGACAAGAAAAATTTGAAAAAGTAAAGATTAATAGATTGTGCTTTCGTTGCCTTAATAAATTCAACAGTTTTCATGTGGGCTGTAGAAGAGGTGAAAGATGCAAGTGTGGAAAAAATTTCAACATTTCAATTTGTCCTTGTGAAGGAAAAACAACAATGAATTTCCACAATCAAACAAATAATGCAACAATGGCAACCAACGATTTTTCATCGAACAATCAAATTGATCATGTTGCCATTTCCTCAACAAACGAAACTAAAACTTTTTTATCGGTTCTCGAATTATGGGCAATTTACAAGAATAAGAAACAGAAAATTTATGCTTTGTTAGATGGTTGTGCTACGGTTAGTTCGATTTCACAAAATTTGGCCAATAATTTAAAAGTTCAAACAACCGTTGAAAAAGGCATAGAAATTCATGGCTATGGAAACAATCAAACCGAAATTTTGAAATCAACGTTTATTCGTTTTGAAAGTTTGAATGGAATAAGTTTTGGTCCAGATAAAGTTCTAATTGGTCCACAAACAATTTTAGAAGAAGTTGAAACAATTCCTAAAAGAATTTTAAACAAAACGTTAGAATTGGGATTTAACCCAATTTCTCCTTCTACTGAAAATTCAAAAATTAAAATTGATGTCTTGTTTGGTTTGGACTGGTTATTCAATCATATTCTTTTACCAGCCGAAGAACGAAAGTTTGTTGAAATTGAAAATGGTTTTGAAGCTTATAATACGAAAATTGGCACTGTCATTCATGGTCATACGAGGAATTCAAAAAGTTTTTATACCTCTTTATGTCAAAGTGTCCATTGCCCAGTTCAGGACATTGAACGAATATTTTTTGATAATTCAGCTCCAGACGTTGAAAATAATGCTGAAGACAAGAAATGGATCGAATCCTATCAAAATAAATTAAGGTTAAACGAAGAAGAACGTCGAGTCTATGCTCCTTTACCTTGGATCAATGAAGAAAGACCAAAAGATAATTTTAATCAGATAGTCAAATTATTACCAGCTTTGGTTCGAAAATTGGAAAAAGACAAGTTGTTGAATAATTATACAGAACAATTAGATTTTTTCGTTAACAACAATTTTGCGGAAGTCATTGATGAAAATGCTAAAGATGGCTTCTTTTTGAATCATTTTCCAGTTGTTCGTCAAAATACAACATACGATGTTCGACCTGTTTTTAATGCGTCGTTTAAACGCGGTTCAGCAAGATCTTTAAACGATTTTTTGTTTAAAGGAAATCTAACTGGTTTAAAGTTAACAAAGATGTTATTAAATTGGCGTTTCAATAGCTGTATTTTATTTGGTGACATTCAGAAAGCTTTTCTACAGATAAAAATTGAACCAGAAGATCGTAAATATTTAAAATATTTATGGCAGAAAGATGGTAAATTAGTCATTTTGCAATTTACCAGTGTTATTTTTGGCGCTACGAGTAGTCCGTATATTTTAGAATCTGCTATTTCCAAGTTGTTGAGAGAAGTCGATCCAGAATTAACCGAATGTATTTATATGGACGATATTCTATTTACTGCAAACGATTTGGAGGATCTTTTCGTTCGTTTTTTCAACGTCGAAAAAGCTTTGTCTAAAGGATCTATGAAAATCCATAAATTTACTGCCAAGAAAGAAGTTATCGAATATTTCAGGACGAAAAATCCTGAAATCAAGATCGAAGAAAAGGATGCAAGCAAAATTCTAGGTTTAAATTGGGACATCGTGGAGGATGTGATCGTTTTTAAAATACCAAAAAAGCCAGTTTCCTGGACGTTACGAACTGTTTCTTCTTTTTTTTCTTCTCTTTTTGATCCTTTAGGTCTTTTGGCACCTTTTCAACTGAAGTTCCGTTCTTTGGTCCGAGATCTTCATCTTTCTAAGTACGATTGGGATGTATCCATCGATATTCCTTTTATTGAACGCATCGAAACTTTAGCTAAACAAATGGAAGATTTAGTCAATATTCGTGTTCCAAGAGGTGTTTGGCGTTCAAGTTGCAAAGATTTGGTGTTACACGTTTTCGTGGATGCAAGTCGTATAGCTTATGGCGCTTGTGCCTATGTTTATGAAGACAATTGTGG